GTCAAATATCAGGTCGCTGAATTTGCATTTACTCATATTTGGGTTCCATTGAACTATGGGTCTATTTTTGTGCCAGTACCATGTTGTACTTATGACTATGGCTCTGTAATACAGCTTAAAATCTGATACAGTAATCCTCCCTGCATTGCTTTTAGTACTCAGGATTGCTTTGGCTATCCAAGGTCTTTAGTGCTTCCATATGAATCTTACAATGGTTTTTTTTTTCCAATTCTGTGAAAAATGTCATGCAGATTTTGATTGCCATTGCATTGAATCTGTCAATGCCTTTTGGTAGGATGGTCATTTCCAATCCATGAGGATGGGAGGTCCTTCCATCTTCTGATGTCTTCCTCAATCACTTTCTTTAAAGATTAAAATTTTTCATTGTAGAGGTCTTTAGTGTCTTTGGTTAAGTTAATTCTTTGTTTTTTTTTTTCAGCTATTGTGAAAGGGAGTGTTTCCATGTGCTCTTTCTCTGATTGATTGGTATTGGTATATAGAAAGTCTACAGACTTTCGTAGGTTAATTTTGTAACCTGCCACTTTACTGAATGTGTTAATAAGTTCTAGGAATTTTCTGGTGGAATTTTTGGCATCTCTAGATATAATATCATATCATCTGCAAAAAGCGATAATTTAATCTCCACTTTTCCAATTATTACTCGTTTAATTTACTGCTCATCTTATTGCTCTTGAAAGAGTTTCAAGTACTATGTTAAAGAGAAGTGGGGATAGTGGGCAGCCTTGTCTGGCTTCTGATTTCAATGGGAATGCTTCCAGGTCTTCTCCATTTAGAATGATGTTGGCTGTGGGTTTGTTATATATGGCTTTAATTATGTTGAGGTATATTCCCTCCAGTCCAATTCCCTCTAGGACTTTGAACATAAATGCATGTTGAATTTTGTCAAAGGCCTTCTCTGCATCTGTTGAAATAATCATGGAGTTCTTGTCTTTGAATCGATTTATATGACTTATGACGTTTATTGACGTGTATATTGAACCATCCCTGCATTTCTGGGATAAAGC